ATGATTGAGTGGTTAAAAATTAGAACTTGTTTCAAAAGATTTATAAAAATATATAAATAAATGGAAAATTAAAAAATCACAGAATTGTTGGGGACTTTTAGAGATCTTTGTGGTACTGAGACATTTGGTTGGGGACTTTTGAAGTAGTCAGAATAAAGAACTATCATCATAAAGAACCATATAGCAATTCTTTTTTCCCCTTTATATTTTATATTTACTATTACTAATACATGCTGCAGTTACTTTTCTTTTTCGGTATTTATTATAGAATTGGTAGTTGGTAATTGTATCACCCATTGTTTGTTTTAACAATGGTAGGCTGAATATTGGATAATTTGGCTGGATTTGCTCATAACTCTAAGCTCTAACCAAAATATATTTTGGCTTAGCACAGTATATGATCACAGATGTTGTTTCTTAATTAATAACTGTGGAATTATCCTGCCTGGTTAGTCTGATTGTAAAAGGCTAGCGAAATCAGTTGGATTTGGTAGTGGATGAGAGACAAATGGACAGGTACAGTTTGGATACTCATGTGGGAACAGCTGTTCTGCCAAGGTAATGACAAATCTTATTTTTCTGATAGGAGACTAAGCTTCTTATAGACTAGAAATTCATAAGAACAAATAATACAGTTGTAGTTGATGGTTTTCATGATGGGTAATGAAGAAATGATAGATGGAGTAATGCCATTTGATTTGACTTTCTACCATGCACATATAATCTGGGGATTAAAAAAAAATAAATTGACTTAATTACTTAGATCAGGTAATTTTTAAAAAAATGGATATTGTAGATCTGTTGAAAACTGTTTATAATCTAAATGACAGACAACTAGAATTACAGTGTATAAATGACTAGAATAAATACAATAATAAACTATTCTGGAATAAATTATATTATATAAATTGAATTGTAAATAAATGTGTAAGCAATATCTTGGGGGGTTGTGAAGTCCTAAAAATATGAATTGAATATTTTTAATGCTGTGTATGTACATGAGCAAGTCTGAAATGGACAAACCATATGAGGACTGTGGACATATTTGTGATTATTATTTATGATCCAAAACTGTGACCAGCTTTGGAAAGTTGGTTTGCCTCTTTTCATTCTTTATGGTTTAGCTATATAATGTTAAATTCCCATGAGAGAGATAGCAACTTGAACATTTTCTCAGAATGTAATGATTGTTTTT